AATTTCAAACTGCTTTCAACGTGCGACAGAAAAATTACTCTTCTTCAAGGAAACTAAGTGAGGGTATACAATTTAAGGGGCACACTTAGTGTGACAGCCTAAATCAACATTGATTTTTGGGAATTAAAAATTGTTTTGAAATTTTCTGGGTATATTTATAGATATTTCAAGAATACAAGTAAACACTGAAATTTAAGAAAAAATTAAATATTTTTTGAGTTATACGATCTCCGACAGCACTAAAAATAGATGCTCCACTGCTGCAGTGATTTCGGGCTTCTCCGTTGGTAAAGGAAAACAAAAATTGACAAAATGGCGGCATTTTTTAAAAAAAACTTGAATTTTATACCAAATTTCAGATCAAAAAAACCGATAGACAGTTGTTGCTGTTTTGAGAAAAACGCGTCTAAAGATAAACTGTTAGAGCTGATTGAACTGAGCGGCTACAGTTTGGAAGGCTGTAACTCCAAAAATATTTGAAATATTCATATAAAATTTTAGTATGGAATTTTTAAAGAATTGGCTATCGAAATATGCAAAAATTAGAAAAAAATGTGTTGCAAAATTTCACACTAGGTGTGCCCTTAAGTCAAATCTGATCTTTAGTTTCGAAGTATGATCCTTTAACCAGCAAAACCTTTCCCCATACAACATATTGGCTTGCTAAGATGAGCACAGCAGAAAGAAATATGATCTTAAACTCCGGAAACATCCAAATCCATGAGCTAATGTCTTGCTACAGTCCTGCAGTCAAACCCGCTTAAAAAGGAAATATCTACCAGCCTAATAAAGAGCAATGTATCACAAAACAGGCTCAACTATAACCTTGAGCTCATCTAGTTTCAAATAGATTTAGGATTTTATTACTTATTGTTAGGCGTTGAATAAGCAAATTCAAAAAATAAAGATATATTAAAAAAAAAAAAATATATGGAATTATCTCCACAAGGAGCGATTTTTGTTATTGAAAATGTTTTAAGTTGCCAATAGATTTATAATAGAGGTCGGTTTCTGTGAAAGAAAAATGTTTAGTTATTTTGTATCATATTTGCTCATTAATTTTTTTAATGAAACCACAACATGTTTTTATAATTTTTTCCAATCATTTTACCATACAAAAAACTACCATCCAACAATAAAAAAATACATACATATGTATGTAAAAATAACAATATTTACACATATTTAAAAAGAAAAAATACGAAATCGAAATCAATTTGTAAAATATGTGCATATAGGTATGTACATACATATGTATATATCTAGTATATACATACATAAAAACAACATGTTCGTTTCAACGATTGATTGATTGGATCTGACTCACACCTGAATCACACTGGTAGTTTTGCTGTGCAAAATTTATTGCTAACGTTCATAGCCGAAAAGCCATTTATTTGCTCATTAAAAGGAATACTTTTTCATATATGTGTATGTATATATATGTACCATACATTAGACATATATATATATACATCAGATTAGATTAGATATCTTTATATTATTTATGTACATATTTCTATATTGAGTTTTTGGAGATGTTTTTCTATAAAGATTCATCAACTGTCCATTCCATTAACTACATATGTATGGTATGTTCGGAAGGTGAATGTGTCATGCAAACTATTAGATATTCATAACTACTCATAGTATATAATGTATGAGCACATTTTAAATTAGTCATTAATATTCAATGCTTGTTGACTGTGGCAAGATTTATAATATTTTTAAAATTAAATGCAAAGCGTGTTGTCGCAGCTTCAACAGTTTTGCGATCACACTACTCTTAATGTGATACTATAATGTATGAGTTTAGCCAAGCTAGATTTAAAAATAAATTTCGAATAGGAACCTGCTTTAAATTTTTAGCGACATTCAAACAAGTTTGGATTTATTTATTGCACTTTTTTATTTCAGAAAACAAATGTTAATTGCATTGACAAATATTTCGTTAACTGGTTTTGCAGATCTTCTCAATTGAAATCAAAAATACGCCTGAAATTATTAATAAATTTCTTTATAGCAAAAATAAAAAATAATTTCGCAAACGAAAGTCTCGAATAATTTATTGCTGTTAGTGGAGTCTAGTCAGACAAGAATATTTATGAGAAGAATATATCAGATATATTTCTGTGGTCTCAACTGGCTTAGGACTGAGTAGATCGATCCAATAATCGTTAGTATTGAGCTTTCACTCAAACCTTTACCGCTATATGCTATCCACCCGATATTGCCGCTAAGTATTACGCCGAAAGACGACTTAAGCTTTAAGCTGACGAAAAATTTTTAATTTTCAAATATTATTTATAAAGTTGTAAAAAGGAGGATGGATTCGTGGGTTTTTTCTTCCCAACTCTAGAAAGTTTTTTTTGTCTGCTTTCAAATTGGTTGTCTGTGTTGGTCTAAGTTCTTATTTCGAAACATTTCAGCAAAGCAAAATATTTTCGAAATTTCAATTCGTTGTAATTTTCTTCATGATTGTTTGAAATTTACAGCTTAAGCTTCAAATGTTTATAGCATATTTTTAGTAGCTGTCGCTTTTGTCGTTGTATGTTTGACTAGAAAACATCTAGGTTTCAAGAGAATAAGCTTCTTCATCGGAACGGATTTTATAATTTTGATTCGATTAAAGATTGGTATGTACTTTTGCCTGTTGCTGTCACTTTTATTACCTTTCAGCATTACTGTTTTTTAACGTGAGAGTAACTTTTCCGATCAGGTATTTAGACGACCTTGTATGAAGACTCAGTGTTACCGCATAATAAATTTATAGAACATGGAAAAGTCTCGATAACGTCTGTTTTCTTATAATTTTTTCTGAATAAGGAAGTATTTCTATGTGACTGTGACTATGGGACTTCGAGGACAGCAAAAACTTCATCAATTAGTTTAATCGAAGTTTTTATCCACTTTTTATATTATTTTTGATGGATATAAGGGGGACTTCAAAAGTTTTTTTTTATTTTTTGTCAAGATACATTTAAGCTCTTTCTATATTTCTTATGAACTTTAAATCAGTTAATTTTGGAAAATCATAAAAATTGTTAGAAAAAATTTTGCAGAAACGTAAATCCAAACAAATAGGTGAATCCATGAATATGAAGATGTTCAACGTTGATGAAGTGCTCAAGGCATTTACTATGTATGTATGTAAGCACATACGTCAGTCCACACAATTGAGGATGCGCTTGTTGTTCGGTTTGACAATGTGTTATAATGACTTTGCTTTCGCCTTTGCCAGATTTTATTGTTATGCCATACCTTTACGTCTACTCGCATATGGGAGTATTTCTTCATTTGTTCAATGGTTGGTTGGGAACAATGTTTCACTCTTGGCTTAAAGGTAAAATCCGTTTCTAAGCATTTCTTTTGTTTAAGCTGTGAAATGTGCAAAGTTTCTTTGTAATTTTTCATCGGGCACAGTGGTAAAGGCTGGAACGAAATGCAAGTAGCTTTGAAAGAAAAAATTTTGATAATGTATTAGCTTATAATTAGCTATTGAGAAGTTTAATTTTCATATTGCTTTGAATTTACAATTCTTTGGTCGAACTCCGCCTTCCATTTGTGACAACTTTTTATGTTGCCTGACAAACAGATTCGTCTGCAACTATATACACAGTTACAAGTATAGTAATGAATACTTAGGGTATACATTTGAAGCACTTTTCGGTTTAATATAGAACTTATTTCACAGTCAGAAGTTACTTTTTTAAATATTATTAGGGGGATAGGTAAAATACAAAACTTATACCATTTTACACAATTAGAGTACCCTTAACCTTTTTCGTCGTTCTCTCTTCTATAAACATGAAGTTCCCACAACTAAAACTGCTGTGTGTGAACACAGACTAAAACTCTAACACAGAAAACTGAAATATTATTTTTTTGGCAGCTGGTGAGACATTACTATCATAACAACTGTAAAATAACAGATATAAAATTTGTATATACAAGCTGAGATCGGTGAGGGTTGCCCACCTCACATCCTATTTATCTATACCAATAGAATTTTGAGGGGTTCATAAAGGACCGGTGTTTATCTGTTAAAGAGCGATCCTCGTGAACTCAAACTAACCTAACCTATTCTGCCTCAAAGAAAATAATATAATATATGTATGTTCTATTTCCGAGACAAAATATTTCCGTAAAATTACTCCTTATCTTATCTTATAACTAATTATTTAACATAGCTCTCTATGTAACACTTACATACATGGTAGGTATATGCCAAAATGTATCAATACTTTTTGCCAAGTGTTTCCTTTTTCATAAGAATATCCGCTCCACTGTTTGGAACTGCATATATTTGTACACGAAAATTTGTCAGCGCTGCCATACTGTACAAATACCTACGTACTTATTATATACTCGTATAATATATAAAATTAAAAATGCAAATATTCTCATATGAAGTCATGAACGATTGTGCTCATGACTAAAAATATATGTATATATGAAAAAATCGCAGTTGCTTTTCAAGTTGTTTATAATTAAATGGGTGCTGCTGATGGCGTTGGTAACCTTGTGCGGCAGATGAACAAGTGCAAGTTATTAAATAGAAAATATGCATAGATACATGTATTTTTCTTTTAGAGCTACTAGACCGAACTACTCTATTGTTTAGTCAGCTAAACTTTTACTCAAATTACTTGAATGAATTTAAGAGAGGCTTTGAAGTACACGCCGCAATGAGGTGGTGGGGACATGACCGAATATTTTAAATAAAGTTCGAAATACTGGAAAATATTTTTAAATTATTTAACCATAATTTTTATGTCAAATGTAATAGTGCATAGCGTGTACAAATACACAAATCTCATGACACATCTCCTACAGTCACATCTCGTTTGGGGCATTGCCTCACAATGTTCAAATTACAGCAAAATGACATACTTGCCAATGACTCATTTATTAACTGATTTGTATACATTATAATTTATTGAACATCACAAAAAAACACAGCGTCCCTTATACAAATTTCGTATTTTTTTTTTGTTTAGAAATTGGAACAAGAAAAGCATGTTTTACGTCAAAAGCTCGCCATTGCCGAAGAGGAGAGCGATCAACGTGTTCTCGAACTGCAATCTGATCTCAACGAACTCAAAGATAAATTACAGGCACAGGAGAATGCAATACGTCAGGCGGAAAAGGAGAAGACTATACTTATCGATGAGTTGACACATCAGAACACGCGCCTCACTGAGCAAATACAGGAAGCGCACACCACCGAACTGAAATTAATGTCGCAGATACAGGAACTTAAGGATCAGTACAATTACAGGAATACCAGCTTGCAGGTAAGCGAAGACGAGTAATTCGATATATAGAAGAAGAAAGAAATAGAAGATTTTTGAAAAATGAAGGTTTAAAGATTTGACACTCACTTAGTGAAAAGTGTATCTATACATACATACAAGTATAATAGATATATTATATGTAGACACTTTATACTTCTTGGTCCTGCATTATAAGCATGTAGTCGCTGTGAGTAGCTTCAAATTCTGATACTTTCAAACCCACGAAGTATTTTTCACATCAAAATGTTTCTTCAAATAAAACACAGCAATCGCTTAAAAGCTTATTAAACCTTATAAGCCCTTTTCTTTGTGTTAACCCAACACCGTAGTTATATCTTAAACCTCAGTTACAGATGTGTTTAAATAATAATATCTCTTAGCCTATCAAGAGCGAAAATAAGTATACAAATTAAAGCTCCTGCGATTTTATTAACTCAAACGAATCCGGCAGCACAATAAGCAGTTTTCCCTTGAAAAGGTTTAGTGACTAAAATTTTCTCATCACCAACTAGCAACTTTCTTCATGTTCGAATTGGTTCTCTTCGATTCTTGTTCAATCAAGGTAATAGATTGGGAGATCGTTTTATCAATTTCGTATTTTCGAAAAAGCTTTTAAACTGATGTGAGTTAAGCATTACGACACACTACTTCTTAAACGAATCGGATCGTCCAACTTTCATTGTATTTGTAAATACATCCCCCCCACCTTTATTTATTCAAATGCTACCAAAAGATTTTTATTATTGGTCATCAGGTGTTCCGCAATGTAGTCATCTTGGCCCGATTCTGTTTTTGTTTTTTATTAACGATATCTCTTCAGTAATTGAATTCTCAAAAATTTTATTATACGCTGACGACGTAAAGCTTTTTAAATCATAAACTTCAACTGAGGAAAGGTGTCTGTTGCAAACAGACTTAAACAATTTGGTTGCATGGTGTGATAGAAATGATTTCCCATTGAATCTCAATAAATGTAAGACGATGTGCTTTTCCCGTAGATCTATGCACCCCTCTTCTTGTGTAATAAAACACCATATTCTGGAGCAAGTTTTTAACTTTTTGTCCTAAGTTTTGTTAAACGTTGGTCTAAAGAATTTAGAGATCAGTATATTACTAAAACACTTTATACAACTTTGGTTAGACCTACATATATTGGAATATGGCTCTGTTGTATGGAAGCCAAACTACCAAATCCATTCTGACAAGTTAAAGTCTGTTCAAAAACAATTTTTACTTTTCGCCTTAGCGCATTTCCGATTCGATCCTAGGGTAAATCTACCTCCATACACTAGTCGTTTAAAACTTATTAATCTACCTACACACTCTAGTCGTAGCGAAATGCTTGGCGTAATATTCTTAGTGAAAATCTGGAATGGAACAGTTTACAGTTCTTTTCGCCTATCTGAAATTAAATTTAATATCCCGGTTCGCTTTTCGAGGCAGTCCTTTACTGTTAAAATCCTGTAGTTCAAATTTTGAACTAAACGAGCCATTCCGCCGTATATGTCCTGATTTTAATTCTCATTCCAGCACATTTGACTTATCTGACTCACTTTTCAAAATTAAAAAGACTTTATTGTTTTCTCTTAATAAATGAAAATGTAACAATTTATTATATTGTAACTATAAATCTTAGCTGTTGAAATTTTTGTTTCTGTGGCTGAGCAGTTTTAGATCTCAACACTTAAAAAACTCTCTTGCCTTTTTTATTATTATTATTATCACACATTTCTGTACGAATTTCAGGAGCACGTGCATAGTCTGGAATCCATAAAAACCGAGTTGAACCTCACTACAGAAAAACGCCATGATCTTGAGAAACGTTTACAGCACGCACAGGATGAAAAGGAATCGTTAACGTCCGCATTAGAAGAGGCTTCTGACAGAATACACATGCTAGAGAGACACGCACGAGAGCAGGAAACAAAATTAGAGGTAATAACTCAAGATATTTTCTATTTATTTGGGATTTGTACCCGTTAATATATAATATATATATAATATAGTCTTATTCTATTTTTATCAGTATATCGACATTTAGAGTTTTTTTTACAGAATTAGAGGCAATAACTGAATATAATAATAAAGATAATAATATTTAATTTTTATAGCCGTTAGAAGACTATTTATTTTTATCGATATTTTTCACAATATTAGAGGCAAATGAGTATTAGCTTAGATAAATATTTTTTTATTTTATCGGTATTTATATTCCAAATTTAGAGGAAATAAATGAATATATTATTACATATTTGAATTTTTTAGCCATTAGAAGACTATAAGTATTTATTTTAATATATACATGTTTTTTTTTACAAAGTTAAAAGTAATTAATATTTAGATTACTATTATTTGGTTTTTTTCGGTACATCGATAATTATTTTATTTATTCATATATTTAATTTTTATAACTGTTAAAAGATTATGATTATTTGGTTTTTATGTATCGATAACATTCTTACTAAATGTCAAGTAATAATTACATCGATAATTATTTTATTTATTCATATATTTAATTTTTATAACTGTTAAAAGATTATGATTATTTGGTTTTTATGTATCGATAACTTTCTTACTAAATGTCAAGTAATAATAAATATTTATTACGTTTTGTAACTGTTATAGGATTAAGATTACTGATCAGTACATTTTTTATTTATATGAAATGCGAGTATATCGAAATATTATATAGCAAATGTTGTTATAAATTATTTAATATTAAAATAACTTTCGTGTAAAAACAGAAATGAACTTATTAATGTGATCAGTATTTCTTTTTGCTAAAAACAAAATAAAAATGATAAATAAATAAATAAAAAAGCAAAAAAATAAAATTCAAGATAACCAATTGAGTTCTAAATATTTATTTTTATTTATAGACAACACTGCAAGCACTTGAGAGATCTCAGCGTGAAAATAATGTACTCAGCGAACGTTTGGGAGCGGTAAGTTTGATTGCATCCAATAAAAATTAAAGTATTATGACACCCGTCATCGATTTCAGGATGCCAATTCTAGTGCACATGGCAAAAAATCTTTGCAATTCGAAATGGAGTGCGATGAAGATGACTCCAGTTTCTCAGACGGCAAACCCAGTCAAATTTGTATTGAGGCGCGCTCTGTCTACATACAGCTGAAATCACTTGTGGACTCACTAAAAATTGGGCATGATGATGACTCAGGTGAGATTAACCCCCAAATTGTCACGACATTAAATACTAATGCAATAGAACTCTGCCACCTTAGGTTTAAATTCGGACATATCGTTAGACTTGGAATCTATGGACAATACGATTTCATCGTCAAGCCGCACCGAAGGTGGCAGTCACACGGAGGCTATTGAATTTCGTCCCGGCATGCTATCAGCCATGTCCGATGAGCTAACACGCTTGCTGCTCAATTTGGATGCCGGCAACTTCAGAAAGATGCTCGATCAGACGCGCAATCTTGTGCTGGAGCAAGAGGACGAGATCAAACGCAGTCATCAATTGATACAGGAGTTGGAATCAAAAGTAAGCGCACATATTTTTACAACTATTTTAAGACAATTTTCTTTACACATTTCACTCTGCTCAGTTCACCGTCACCGATGTGGAACTGCAGAACGTTAAGGAGGAGCGCGATCAAGCACGTGGTGATCTTATTGACAATAGCGATCGCGATGAAATGCTCGTTAAAGCACAAAAGGAACGCGATGCAGCGAATGAGCGACGCACAAAAGCCGAAATCGATTTGGCTAAGACGCGCGTAGACTTAATGCAGGCCAATAGCCAATTACTTGAGTCAATACAGCAGAAGGTTGAGTTGTCACAACAGCTGGAACAGTGGCAGGTAAATAGAAATTAAACGATATTGAAACTTCAAGACAGTAACACAGGCGGAAAATAATTTATATAAAATGGAAGTCTAGTCCCCTAGCACCAATTTCTTAACTGAAAACAATCTTAGTTTCTTTGATATTTCATTATGAAAAAGCTTATATATATGTATACTATTAAGATAGTTTTCTACATTTTAACATATACGAGTAACCACTCTCACAATTCAAAATATTGGACGAATATATAAATAGTATTGTTATGAAAGAAAGCAGGTGAGATATAAAAAGAATATTAATACGATTTACCATATTTTCGCCAAGTATTAGAGAAAGGGAATAAGATAGGGAAGAGAAAAAGTAAGAAAGACAGAGAGAAAAAGAGGAGTATAGGAACATACAAGGTTGTTCGGTAAAGCGTACATAGTATGTCTTCAACATGAGAAGTTTGTGACAATAACATACTTATCTTCAAATAACGATATATTTTTCAACCCTCTGTTAAATACTTAAAATAGAGGTATGACACTTTAAACTTACAGAACTCCAAAAGTAAATGTAATATTATATTTAAAAATAAACAAACACTTATAAAAACTTTAAACTCACTGGTAGGTCACTTCCACTTTTCAATAATTTGGGTTCCCAGTCACAGGTACATTTTCGGCAATGAAAAGGCAGACGAGTTGGCAGAGCTAAGACTTCCTCTCCCTCTCTTCTCTCCCTCTCTTCTCCCTCTCTTCTCCCTCCCCCTTAAATATGACAAGAATGGAACAAAGGACCTACTATACAGTTTCAGAGAAAGCATATACAAATTACAGCTACTATAACGGTGCACTCACTTTTTCGAGAGCATGCGCTAGAAATGAGTCTGCCTTCTAACAATATTTGCCGCAGCTGCAAGCAAGAAGGGAATACGGAAACGGTCTTCCACTTTCTCTTCGAAATCTCAGCTCTATTACAATCCGACACAAATTACTTGAAATTCATCAGGCACCAAACCTTGAATGGTTGTCCACTAAAAACATATAGGATATAAGTATCATTGAGAGCAATACATAGTTTGAGCGCAACGATGAAACGGAGTAGTAAGATTATAAAGTCACGACAGTGCATCAAAATGGCGCATCCAACGCTAATTGAGGCCATGGTGGCAGTACTCCTATCTATCTACCTATAAAAACTAAAGTCATTCCCTACTTCACACCATTAATTCAAAATCATTAGCTCAACAATTCAGAATCGCAATTATGCTTTGTATAGTATATAAGATCTTTACTATGAATCACCTTTCAAACGGTTTATAGAAAATTCAATTAAGAAGAATGTTTTACAAAAAAGAGTCCAATTTAGTTCTAAAACGGTTTAAAATTACAAACATAAGCTGAGAAAAGTCCTCAGTTCGATGTAATCACAAAGGAATCAGATTATCTTCCTCGTCCCAAATGCATTTTTGAGATTCCTAACCGTGATAGTGCTCGGTTAGGTAATGAGAGAAAAGTATATTACAATAGATCACCGGTCGCAATTCATAATCTGCCTATTTAAACATACTGACGGTTACCGATTAATTTATCAGCAATATTAGTAAAAACAGAGATAGTACGAAGCAAAGAGCAATCCGATTTAGATCTTAACAGGAATAAACCGTTTTAACTGGGTCTCTAATTGCTTTTCCACGGACTATGGGATTATACGTACTTATATAGTAGGACCATATTTTAGAGAATCATGACTAAATCGGGAACTAGAAACTAATGTTTAAATTTAAGTCTGACTTTCGCCACTATAATTTTTACAACAAAGTAGAATACAATTTCAAACCTGCATCACTTATTTTCTCCCATAACAGATGGATATGCAAGAGTTACTGCAGGAGCAAATGCGTTCGAAGTTAATTAACAATCGCAAAGTGGCATCGCCTGCCGCTGCCAGTACAAATACAAGCGCCGCGTCCGCGCTGGCAAAACGTGTGTCCAGCTACAAATTCTGGAGCTTATTTCAACGGTAAATTGAGCATACTATGGAAATTCTACGCTACTATAATATACTAATGTAAAAGTCTTTTTTTTTATTAATATTATTTTTTATGATTATATTTTAATATTTATACAATATACAAGTTTATTACATAGCAAAATATAGACACATATTTATATGTTGTAACATGGAGGAGATGTTATAAAAAATATTGATTGCATTTTTATATACATTTTGCTAGTGTAATGACACGAATTGACAAAAAAACAATTAAAAATATATACACTTATGAATACAATTACTTGAACTAACGTTAGACGCCGATTTTGTGTGAACATATAGTTTTGTTGGGAACCGCTGCGTTTCACATGCGCTTTACTAACTTTAATTGTTAAAATAAAAAATTAAAAACTTAAAAATTCAGCAAAAAAGACATTAAACGTACTATTTTATTTTATAAAAAATTATATATTATATAAATAACCGTTATTTTTAAGCAACAAAATACAAAAAGAGAAAACAAGCAATTCAAAATTGTACAATAGCAGCAACTTACGCACTTCATGCATGCGCATGCGCCAATACAATTCAATATATGGATGTGTATGCATGGAGTGCGTGCCACTCGCTCGCCCAAAAGACACATATCGCTCTACATTTGTAGTGTTTGCAGTAAATATTGTATAAATAGCAAGTAATTCTGGTCATAAATCGCTAAATTTAAAATTGTCGCCGCTCTTATTGTTTTTTTTTTCCACCACGCTATACAGTGAGTAGTACACTAACACACCACACTAGAGTATTGATAAAAATTGCAAAAAAAAAACAACAATTATATAAATTAATAATTAAATTCATTTTAATATTATATGTTTTAGCAAAAATGTAAACAATTATATTAAATATATCTACATACATACCATACATACATGTATACATATATACTAATGTATCGTATATTAATTGTAAGTCTCTTAAGTGCATTAAATAGTCACCATTACCGTTAGTTCAGCGTGAGTGGTGATGTGATTGATTAGTTGATCGTTTGATAAGTTATAGTTGTCGTTGGCATTGGCGCAATAGTTTGTATAAAACAACAATAAAAATGGAAATAAGTAAAGACATTTCACCAAGTGTTTAACATGCATGCTACTTAAAATAATAAAAATCTGTGAAATAAAAACAAAGATGAAGAATAAACGAAGGAAATGTTAAGCTTTAATTTCACATACTTGCCTTAACGCTGACAATGAATCAAAATTTTTAAGTCACAGCAGAAATCTTGTTTGAAAAGCAAATAAAATTGTGCAAACACATTACTTTAGATTTGTGTATTGTAAAATTATTTAACATACATATGTAAACCTACTTAAATAAATAAATCTTATGATTTCAAATAAATAGAAAAACTAAACACTCAAATTTTTTATTAATTTTTTAAATATTTTACTGAGGTGAGTATTTTCAGTTTTGTTAACCTAACCGTTGTTTAAGCCACCTACAACAATTCACGAGTAATAAACTTATTTTTTTCATCCGATTGAGGAAGGACCTTTTTTTTGGAACTGGGTCAACACAGACGGCTATTACTTTGGAAATTAAATTTTTTTTTTGAAATTTTCGTGACTTCAAGACTTTTGTAAACTAACATGATTAAATAGCAAAAAAAATACTGAAAATTCTCATTTTTTCGTGCCTCTGACTACCCCTAACCCCTTAAAATACCCCAAGTAAAAATAATCTAGAGCCGTTAAATCGCATGATATTGTCGGCCAATTGACTGGGCCATTTCTCGAAATCAACGAGTTGGCAAACTTTGCGCACAATGTGTCCATGGCATGAAACATGAAGCAGAGTCCCTCATTGTTGGAAATAGGGATCGTCCACGTCAATTGCGTTTCCTGAACCACATGAAGATTTGACTCTCCTCAATAGCAACAATTCGTTTGTTGACGAAGCCATATAATCAAAAATGAGTCTCATCTGAGAAGATGGTTTTTCGAAGAACGTTTTTTCAAAAGTTTTTTCGAGAACGTGACTTTGCGTAATAATCTTGGACAATTTTGAAGCGTTGTACCAAAGTGAATCGTGACATGATGAAATGGCAAACCTTACTTACACAAATCCGTAAACAATCATGGTATATTGGTACGCAGTCTTTAACTCGGATAAGAATAACACTTGAAATAGACCATATAGAAATAATGTTTGAGCTTCAATAAAGAAATGATATATATAAAGCGCTATGATTTTATTTGATAATTCAAAATACGTGGAATAATATTGTGTAGTAATCCGTACAGAACGTTTTTTTCGTGGCAGTAGATTAATTTTTTCCCTTCGCAGACTCTTTGATATTAAACTTTGGAACACGATCCTTTCTACCCAATATTTTGGTCGATGATTCATCCACGTTAACATTGCTAATAACGGTGTTTATACGTCGTTCAATTACGCCAACGAAAAGTTTTACATTATGAACCGTTAATACCGTTTTAGTACTCAGCACATTTAATATTGGAGCATCATCGCAAGATAAAAGTCTAAAGAAGAGAAAAAAAATTATTTCAAAAAAGAATTTGAGACTTAAAAATATAACATAAAATATGTATATTTTCTAAATATTAAGAAAAAGATAGTCTACTAACTTAAAAATCTCCAATATGCCCTGCAACATTTGAGCCAAACGCGTATGCAGTGCCAAATTTCTTTCACTTGCCTCCTTGGCTGTCATTTCAATATTTTCTAGTTCGTTATTTAAGTAGTCCAAAGCTTCGGTTTTCTGCTTTAGCTCCTTCTCTTCGTGTTCAGCCTGTTGCCGCTCTGTAAGTGAATACTCAAGTTTTCATGCGATTTGTAACAAAAATTAACTCCTACCAATTTCCTCGCTCAATTCTTGTGTGGTCTCATTCAAAGTCTCTACTTCGTGACTCAACTCATTGACATAACTGAAGAGAGCAAAATTTTCCTCTTCCTGTCGCTTAAATTGTGCCGTAAGAGAGGCTGTATCCTCCACCGCATATAGTTCCTTAATATCATCGATGATGGCATGATATTCCTCTAGCTGTCGCTCATAGTTTTCTTTCAATGCGAGCTTTTTGTTCGCCTCACGTTGCTCCAGTTCGGGATTCAGACGCTTCTTACCTTTAATGTCGAAGAATTTCTGCAATTTCGCATCATGTTCGAGGCGACGTTGCATCTCACGCATTTCCTGTAGGAACACGAAAACAGTCAGGTTATATGGAACTCTATTAAATTTTCAAAAATTTCTATGAAAAATACCGAATCATATTTGTCTTACTTGTATATGCATAATTTTATCGTTCTCACTGCGATCCTTGAGCACTTGTAATTTGTTGCAAAGTTCCTCGCGCATATCAAAGGCCACTGTTGACTGGTCTATTAGCTCCATAATGTATTTCTTACCGTCATTAAATTGTGTCACCATTGTTTGCCACATGTCGTTGAAGTTTGAGCTGTAAAAGTGTAGATTTAAAAGTTTCAAATAATTCTAGAAATGTATCAAGTCCATTCACCGATCTTGCAGCATGTGATTGATGGAGTTACGCAGTTTACAGTTCTCCGTCAAAACGTCACTGCATTTTTTGTTAACCACATCCAAGCGATTCTCCAACTTGACAACGCTCTTTTGCACTTTACCAATGCTCTCCTTATAGCAACTATCAGTCACTTCATTCTTACGCAGACTCTCGATTTCCTTTTCCACCTTAATAATAGACATCTTTTTTTCAGAAACCGAAAATATCATAAAAAGAAATCCCTACCAACCTTCTTAAGGTGACCTTCCAGTTCCCAGAGCTTAACGCGTTCGCCTTGCAAAATTTGCTGAAGATCAACATTTTGTCTTTGCAAATAGCTCAAGCGTTTTTCTTTCTATAAAGAAAATAAGAGTGATTTAGCTCGTGATATTTAGAAAACAAAGTAAACAAATTATTTAGAAGATCTTAAGTTAAGTGCGAGTCTCTATAAGACAATTTTTGAAGTAAAACTTTCTATTGGGTAATGTCGCATAAAAATTTCTTTTTAACAGTAATGACAGCCTCACAGCTATTAAACTCAGGGTTTATTATAACCTGAACAAGGTCACGAAATTGTTACGCCCTTACAGAAACTCCATACTCCATAAAGTACATATAAAAATGATTAATGATCAAAATAGTCTCGCAGTTCTTGAGATATCGATTCGAAAGTTTGCACACGTCCTTTTCTCCTCAAGAATTTGCTCATTTGTTGGAACCGCCGATATCAGACCACTATAGCATATAGCTGTCATACAAACTGAACGATCAAAATTAAGTTCTTGTATGGAGAACTTTTTTATTTGACGAGATATCTTCACGAAAGTTTTTTATATTTATTTTATTTGCAATCTGTCTTAATAACATTCAGCAAAATAGAGGAAGTAAAATTGACACGGATTATTCTCTAAGGCAGCGCTACAAGTTTCGAAGAAATTGTTTAGATCGGACCACTATAGCATATAGCTGTCATACAAACTTACCAATCAAAATCAAAATGAATATCTATTTATGCCTTTTAATTTTATAAGAAACGCACCTGCGACGGTATAATATAATAGCTTCAGTGCAGCTGAAGTTAACGTTTTTCTTTGAAATATTTAAAACAAGTTAGTAATTAGGGATTAGGAATAATAGTGTTAGAGCACAAAATTTATTTTTACCCGTTGGTATGTCAGAGGCACTGCGAATTCGAATGCATTTCCTCACTGCAACCTGAACCCATTTCAAGAGCAAACGCTTAGGATACCTTAAAACCTTCTTATGATGAATATTTTTCTGCGTTGAACAAATTTGGTATTGGAAATTTTGACTGAATGGACTCCGTTAATGAACTTCTGTCAAACGTAGTAATGAGAAGCAGACACCATGATCTATGGCAATTTGACATTTGCAAAACATAATTCTGGAGCATTCAGCCGAAATTTGTGACATGTATCAATATAAACTTGGCGCAATCGATTGCTGTATCTTTTGGAAAGCCAAAAGTGACACTTGTATCCGTTGGTTCTAAGTGAAAATTAATGGTATTCTTCATAAAAATATTAATAAATATATTTTAATATTTTAATTTCCAAGCTTTTATGGTAAAAATTTTTGTTGTTTTTTTCAGTTGGATAATATATTATATTACGGTAATAAATACGAAATGGAATCCGCTCGACAAAAAACATAACAGCACAGTGAAAAGTTTAGATATCATCACAGAGTGGACTCGTATTTCTAAGTGACAAGGGTATATGTAGGTATGGCTAACATTCGTGCTTTAAACTGGTTATGTTCTTCAACTTCGTGAGTAGAAAAAAGCCTGCCTTTTACTGGCAAATTCTCTCACACGAAACTCTTATACCAATTACATTTGTATTTTTCCTTGCATGTGTTCCGCTCTCCAAAGTGTTAATTTCGTCTTTTAACTTCTGATGTTCCTGTTGTAAAACTGTGATCATGTGATTTTGTTTCTTCAACTGCTTAACCTTTTCTTCTAGTAAACCACGAAGCTCTAATTGCAAAGTGCGATGCTGAAAGAAATTATAATATTACAATAATTTTCAAAATATAATATTTTATTCTTTGCTGTTGATTACTTGTCGCTGCAGTCTCTCCAGTTCTGCTGCAGCTAATTGATCTAACTCAATTTGATCAGTCATATTTATTATTAATTACTGTGATCAAAAATAATTTATGATATTAACAAAATACAAATATGCTCGTCTGCTTATAATATCACTGATTAATTTACCAACCGTAAATATCAAGTCATGGCAACGTGAAAATTCTCTATTATCACGAAGGTACGACAGCAACAGGTCTTAAACATACATATATACATATTTATATTTCAACTGTCCTACAAAATTGCATTGATTAAAAATAATATATAATGTAAACTATTTCATATTTCCTCAATTTTAAGTAGTAAATTAATAATTGCCAAACAGGAAAAACTGTCACCACATCCGGTGATAAACTGATACTACAGTTCAGTGCCCAAACTTTGGTGAATAATGTTGATACACATATGTACATATTTACATATGTATGTCTTGCCATAAATTCTGTTACACGGTCGCGAGAACATATCGCAGTAAAAAAGGCCGTCATTTTTTATTATAATTTGTTTGTAGTGTCTACTCATATATAATACTCGGTTCAGTGTTTGGAAGAGCTTAAGAAAATCGTATTGCGGTGATTGTTTTTCATAAGGATGGAAAAAAGCGCAAGGGAAATTTATGAGCTTCTCAAAAAAAAATTGTTTCCAAAATGTCTCCAGTTAATGACAGGAAGAAAAGAGGTCGCCTTCGCGTGGCTCGAATCAATTCGGCCATAAAAACTGTTAGCGAACGCATTCACTGAAATCATATCAGAAAACAGAAAATTATGTCAAGGGAAATGGATATATCAACCAGATCAAAAGTAAGAAAAGTAAATATTCACGATGATATCCATATGATCTGGTCACCTTCTGACAACGCGCTTGAAGCAAATTAGTTACCACAGGTGCAAGCGATTTCTTCAGTAGGACACGGTCAACGGCCATGAAGGTATCATTTTTACAGATGAAAAAATGTTTAATGTTGAAGAAGTTTTTATTAAGCAAAACAACAAATCTACGAAAAAACTTGCAAATTCATAAAAAAAAGTTATTCCAAAGGTTCAACGTGATTGCCATCTAGCTGCTGTTATAGTTTGGTGGTGAGTTTCCCTAAAAGCCGTTATGCCTCTCCACTTCTTTGAAAAAAGGAAACGATTAAAACTGGGACAAACGTGTACCAGCAGGATGTTTTAAAAGGTGTGGTGAAGCGGTTAAGCAATACTCTCTTCGATGCTGAGCACTGAATTCTTAAAAGCAATATTCATCGTTTCATAGCTGCAGTTGGTTGGCCGTCTGGAAGTCCAGATTTGAATCCAATGGACTACCGTTTGTGATTAAAGTTGGAGATTATGGCCTCGAATATTCCACAGAAATTTGATGAGTCTCAAAAAATGTTTAGTTTGAACAGCGTCGTCAACACTAATAGAAACTATGCGTGCTGTCATTGTTCAATGGCCGAATCGTTTGAGGGCTTGGGGGAAAGCAAAAAGTGACCATTTCGAAAAAAATTGTGTACGTCTATTAAATAAAAATAACTTTAGTAGTAAATGTATTATAGTTTCATATTTATAAGGGCCTAAACTTATAACAGAACTTATGGAAGGACTAAGTATAAAACATAAAAATATAAAACAAAGCAGGAACCATCAGGTCCAGCTATATATCAAAATCATTAAACTTTGCCGTATGATTTGACTATGAAAATTTATATTATATGTGGTTGTATATAATACATAATATTGATCTAGGAAAAGCAAAAAATTAAGTAATAGGACTACACTTTCAACCACCCTGTATGTGCCACCAGCTGATCTAAATGAATAGCATAAATTTTTCATTCGACTAACTGTCAAAAAGTTCATCTGCACAACCAAAGAGAGGTTATCTAAATTTTATAATAACAAAGTACAAAGAATTAGTTAAAATTGTTTACTAGTAGAAGTTTTTAATTAAAAATGGTATCACCTACACTTGCACTGTTTGTACGATCTAAGGGTCCTGATGAATTCTGGCGAAAGCGAAGGATATTCAAGCTTGCGGCGGTAGGTATTTCACAACGGACACGAGTTACTGTATTCATATTTCAATCAAACGGTTTATAAATTATTTTATACAATAGCACTTTCGTGGACGAAAACGTAACTGCTATTCTGTAGCAGTACGCTATGTGCATCGAGCTTTAGTTTATGCCACAAAGGGTCGTAAGCTGAAGAAAATGGATATGGCAGAGGTGAGTGAAGTCATATTGACTCGAATTAACAATTGAAAGTTCGATATTACAGTTGTGGAATAAACGTGTGCAAGCCGGTTGTGAACAGTATGGAATCACACTTGAAACATTCAAGGAGACACTTTCGCGCAACAACATTTTATTAAACAAGTATATACCTCCGCAAGATGACTGATTGTATAAGAAAATGTAAACATGTTTTTTTTCTTTTTTAATTACAGAAAAGCCTTAGCCGATCTTGCTATTTGGGAACCAAAGTCATTCGAATCATTAGTTAAATTATCCAGAGAGCGGGCTGTTGTGGATACCTTACCAGGCTTAACAGAGCGCTCGGCAATGAACCAAGTTTATGGCCTGGCCAACTTAAAGTTAGATTAATCTCAACTAGTGATTAGTATGATTAATTGGCGTACTATGCTTACAAATTTTAATAAAAGTATATTTCCAGAAACAAAGCGTAAAACCGTTTTATTTTCTTTTCAACCACACAACACGTTTACATGACCACACCAACAATGTGCGAACATTTTGTAAACTAGTCTACATCATAGTAAATGGAATTTACAAACTAAGAAACAAAATTTTGACCCTCTTATCTCAAACAAAAGGTCATACACTATTCACATTATGAAAAATTCGAGAATTCTATTCCAATTTAGCAAGAATGTCAGATTCGCGGAAAAGAATGTACTCTTTCTTGTCCTCCAGCTCCACTTTAGTGCCGCCGAATTCTGGCAAAAGCACGCGGTCACCTTCTTTCACTCCCACTGGGATATAGTTACCATTTTGCTATAAAAATAATTTTTATTAGTAATTATTTTTATTTTCCTAAACAAACGTTTGCAACTTACCGGATTCCTTGCACCGGGCCCAACAGCAACGACAGTACCTTGGAGAACTTTGCCCACAGCTTTATCTGGAAGCACAATACCACCTTTTGTGGTAGTGATTGCCTCAGCACGTTGAATCAGAATGCGGTCCAAAGTGGGCAAGATCCTTTTGATAACTTGTGCCTAACAAAAAAATATATGATAATAAACAAATTTGTTTTACACGATATAGCAAACAAAAAAATTTCGATTTGTTTCTATGTTACACAACACCCATGTGTAAAAGCCGGCAATGTTGAAAAATGCCTGCCTGCAGCAGAAACATCGAGAATGATCACTTCATTTCACAACAAACAATGCTTTAAAGTAATACTTTTATTTATGAACTAACCATTTTATTTATTTTTTTTTTTTTTGTAGTTTAAATGCGAAATAAGTCTTTCAAAACAGGAATTAATCCTTTGTTCGCTGGTTTCTTGAAAATCAAAAACTTGCGCAGACACGTGGAATATGTCCTATTTCGGCTAATCAGAATATAATAATGAATTTCTCGATGAACCTTTTGCATGAATGGCGATGAGTAACCCGAACATTCGTAGTAGAAAAAGTACGAAGAAGTGTATACCTGATGTATCTACACTACTCAATAAGGGTATTCACTATTAAATTAGAGGATACAATACAAACTGCAGTCCGTTTAATTTATATCTGGACTTCCAGACAGCCAGCCTTCTTCAGATATGAAACCAGGAATATTGCTTTTAGTCCACTGCTAAGTGGTTTTTGCCTTGCACGTTGGAGCAGAATCTTGGTGGAACATCCAATGCTCTCCACCGAAGGGAAGAATTATTATGCATTCTAAATTTTGCCCCAGTTTTACCCGTTTTCTTTTTTATATTATATTATTCAAACGATATTGAAACCAAACTCTTTCAAAGCACTCGTTAATATACTTAACATTACAATATAGTTTACCAATAATAACGCTCGTAAGTTTTCACTATTTACATGGTATGAGAGAATAGCCTCCACACATTTTTGTTATAATTTATCTTAGTATCAATTTAACTGAAAAATAATATGAGTGTGGCAACCCACTAAAACAGCTGCTAGTTTGTTTATATCGAAAAGGAGATTTCATTTATTTATATGCCAATTGCACAAAGTTTTGCAAATGCCGGATGAATATAGACATAAACAGCTCTAAATTTGTAGCACAAATAACGTGTGATAAGTAAGATTAACGTCGTGTAATTTAGTGCGGTTGTCGGGCAGAAAACTTTTCGGTCATGAATACTAGCCATAGGACAGCATCCATGGACAATACATTGTGCCATGAAGGACGTTTAAGCTTATATTGCTACCTGACGACGACTATTATTGTGCTTGTTGCTACTGTACCACAAATCTACTATGGTACGGTGCCAAATGTTTGGGGTGCCGCAATGTGGGGTCCGGTACTGTATTATGCATTGATCAATATGGTGATACGTTACTTACTGTGCGATAATGATTACCAGGTAAACAAATAACATATTTATATGCACTGATGTTATATCAAAGCTATAAACTCTTACAGATTGCAATTCGTTCCACATTTTTGGGTTTTATGGAAGCCGCCAGCATACTAGTAATTTTGTTTGCGCCTGATGAATGGAAGCAATTTGGTGTTTATGCTTTCTTTATGTCATTCTTTCATTACTCAGAGTTTCTTGCCATTGCATGGTGCAATCCAAATAGTCTTTCTACAGATTCGTTTATTTTAAACCACTCAATTCCCTATGCATTGGCAGCAATAGCTAGCTGGATTGAGTTTGCTTTGGAAGTGTGGTTGCTGCCTAGCTTTAAAAGCTTCTATTACATTTGGCTACTCGGTGTAGTATTATGTGTAACTGGTGAAGTTATTAGAAAGGTAGCCATGATCACCGCGCGGAATAGCTTTACGCATCTGGTGAGTACCCTATCTTTCAAATATTCCTTCCTAACACGTAAAATAAAAGCACAATTTTTATTTTTTTTAAGGTTCAACAAGAAAAATCAGATAACCATAAACTGATAACACACGGTATTTACGCTTATATGCGGCATCCATCATATGTGGGCTGGTTCTGGTGGTCTGTGGGCACGCAAATAATACTGCTAAATCCTTTGTGTATATTGATTTATACAATCGTATCATGGAAGTTCTTCCACGATCGAATCTTCATGGAGGAAATAACATTATTAAATTTCTTTCGATCCGATTATCACAAATATCAGCAAAATGTACCCACAGGTTTGCCATGCATTAAAGGTTATACCCTCGATTAGCTACCTGCATCAGCTGATTAGGGTGAAATGGAGCTGCATCAATGTGCTGTGCATTTAAGTGAATAACATTAAATCTAATTTCTCACAATATCTATTTCTATTTAAGTAATTAAGAGATCATAAAGTGTTGTAACAATAAGTATTTTTATTAACAAAAGATGTGTTAAACGAATAACTTGACCATTTAATTGCAGGAACTAATATTATTAAAATCTAATATTACATGATTAAAGTTGTATTAAAGTTCAAACAAATGATTCAGTTGGCAATTATATTTCGTGTGTAATCACATTGCCGGGAAGGAATATGTGGAAAATGGTAACTCCGTTTGTACTTCCACCGGAACCTCATTTGCAGTATGTGCGAATTTTTATCCGATGAATTTTTTGATTTCTGTTGGTTTTGTTGATTAATTAGGGGATTAGGCTAGTCTAAGATTTTCAAAATTACTCGTTAATTTTTTAGGCCAATTTTGGGATAAGGGGATATTCTAGTCTAGAAATAAAAAAATCATTTTTTTTTATATTTTAAAAGTTTAACTCATGAATATGTCTACAAGAAGATTTTTCAAAACTCAAATAATTTTCGGAGATATAGGTATTTTGCTGACCCGGTATCCAAACTAGTTCGGTCGGAACTGAAACTTTAAACGCGATTTTTTCGAAAGTGTCTTTTTCGAAAAGATACCAACGATTTCTTAAGTTTTACTGAACCGATTTAAAAGAAGAGAGTTGTTGTTGTTGGAGCGGCAGAATTTTGCCGAGTTGACAGTCCGTTGCGGTTATCGATCTGAAATTTTGCACATGTTCTTTTCTCCGCCTCATTTGTTGGAACCGCCGATGTCGGACCACTATAGCATATAGCTGCCATAAAAACTAAGCGGTCGGAATTAAGCGCTTGCAATACAATGCAATCTCCGAAGAAATTGTTCAGATCGGATCACTATAGCTTATAGACTTTTATTAGAAAAATAAACAAAAATTAATTTTTTTATACCGTAAAAGTTTAAATATTTGAGAAAATATTAGCCTCAGTTAATATTTTAAAGTAATACAAATAGTTTGTAGGCAAACGTTTCACTGTTTTTTACTGTGTATATTTTTCTCCACGAGAGCAAGGCAGTGAAAGCCTTCAAAACGTTAGTAACCAAAATATATCATAAAATTACGAAACCTATAAAATTATATTTTGCTTATTTTGGAATTCTAAAATTAAAAAATGGTACATTTACAAAAATCATAATATATTTTATTTTATTTCATTAAATATTTATGCATTAACATGACATACTTTTATTTTCTGCTTAAACATGTTTATAATTATTACACATCTTTCCTTTAACTATAATATTTTCCATAACTTTTTTTATATTTATAATGGCAATAAATTATATATTAAAAAATAGGCGCACAAACTTAATGCTATGTACATTAAATGGCTGCTGTAAACATTATAGTTGCGTTAGAGTAAAACACATTACAAACATATAGTGTGAGTTAAAATAGTGTGAATAAAAAGAATTTAAAATTTAAAAAATATGTGCATAAATTGAATTTAATTTTTTTTAATGCTCAAAATATTGCTTTAATTAATTTAATTTGCGTTTTAGTAACATTTTTTGCTTGAAAGTATTTTTAGAGTGCAAAAAGTTTAACACTCGTATGGCATTGTGCGTTTGTAAACACATACACAAGACGAAATGCAATAAAAAAGAAAGTTGGTAAAAATTATTGAAAAATACAAATCACGGTTAGAATGTGTAAATGGTTTTATTTTTGTTTATTTTAAATGCGATTTTATGCTTTCTACTACTTTACAGTTAGTTCGTGGTGTCTTGTGTAATTATTATTATTTTTTACTTTTATATAATGTATTGTTTGTGTAAACTCTAATATGCTTGGTTGGTGGTATGCTGCTAATATTTGTTCAAACCTCGATACTATAAACTGAATGATTTTTTTACCAACAAACCTAGCTTACTTTACACACACGCACATTAACAAACGCTTCTTTCTTAGGCTGCCTGCTTATTGCAGCACCCATTTTCTTTTTAACCTCTTAACTTAACTCTGAAAACATCTTACACTTTTACAACATGATTTTTCAACATTTCATGCATTTGATTATAACTGTATATTCTTTAGGATATTCTTTTGACCTTCAGTCTTCTCTGTTAGTTTTATTTATGTCATCTTTACTGCCTGCATTTCTTTAAAACTATTTTTTATATTGACACAAAAAGTTTTTTTTTAACAAAATTGATTTTTCACAAAAGAAAATTTATATAAATTATGAAAAAAAAGAAAAACATATTAATTATTATCATTATTATTTTTTAAAAATTATTAAACATTTTTTCAGAAAAAAAATATTATTTTGATTGAAAAAAAGTTATGTTAAATTATGTTTATTTCATTTTTAATTTCAAAATTTAAACTTTTTAAGCATATATAATATGATTTTTTTTTATTATATCTGCTGTTCGTGTTTAATTTTCGTGATGAAATTTTCCGCATAATAAAGATATATTAATTACAATTTTTGCTTTAAAACATATTTTTAAATTATATTTTAAACAATATTTTTTTTTATCTTTTTGATTTTTTTTTCTTTATAAATATCAATTTCATAGCAAATAAAATATTAAAAAAAAATTAATTTTGTTTGAAATTACAACTTTGTTCATGTTTTTAAAAATGTCTCTATTTTTTTAAATAAGCAAAAATATATATATTTTTTATTATTTTTTTACAAAATTAATTTTAAAAGTTTATTTGTATTTTTATGAAATAAAAATGGCTTATGTACAATACATTAGATGCCAAAAAAACTTTTACATAGAATTGCATTTTCTTAGACACAAGTGAGTATAATAAATTATTTTGAGTTTAAACAAAACAAACATACTAAAGTTTCACTCACAAATGCGTATGCATGTGTGTATATAAATATTTTTAAACATTATGAGTTGGTAACACAACAAAAAATTATATAAAATGTGAATATATGCAATTTACGGTAGATAACACATTAAAATAATAACAATTACAATTCTTACACACATAATTAAATTATAATTTCTTTGTTGCAGAATTAGTAAAGGCAAAGGAAAAGCGAAATATTGCAGATTTCTTTTTGTTTTTTAATAAATAGCTGCTTTTCCTGCCTTCTCGTATTTTTGCTTAGATTTAACGCTTAGTACTAGAGTCTATATATATATGTATGTATGTGAACATGTATCATGCGGTATATGTATTGTTATTAGCTAAAATTATGCAATACTTTTCTAAAAAAAAAATAATAAAATCAAATTAGAAAAGCATTAATACATGCAACGTATATTTCCAAAGTCCAACGCGCAAGCGTCGACTGCCCGCAGACACAATTTTTCGTTTTATAAGAAAATAGAAACGATAACTCCTCCGCCTCCTGTGTTGTCTTGCAGCTTTAATTTATGCACAGCTTCTATTTACCATTTACATCTTTTTTTCGCTCTCTCCCGCTCTCATTTAAACAGCGCCGTTGACTGCGGCTGGCGCTGTGCTCGCACTTTTGCCCTCCAACTCGGCTTGAATCTCGTTCAAACTCTTGCCCTTGGTTTCGGGCACAATAAAGTAGACGAAGAATACACCGACGATTGTAATGCCCGAGAAGAGCCAGAAGGTCTCGCCTTTGCCAAGGGAATCGGTCAAATTCACAAAGGTCTTTGTTACAACAAAGGCCAAAACCCAATTGGTTGTGCCGGCAATGGAACCAGCCACGCCTTTAATGTCAGCAGCAAACACTTCGCCCATCATCAACCATGGCACCGGGCCAAAACCGATTGAGAAAAGCACAATGAAGACGCACAAGCTAACGACGGGCAACCAGCCGATATTGGTAACTGAGTCAGCATCCTGTTTCTGCAAGTAGAAGTAGACACCCATGGAGATGGTGGATATCGCCATAATGATGGAAGAGGTGAGCAGCAATAGACGGCGTCCGAGTTTGTCAACAACAATTGTCGATACAAAAGTAGCAATGAATTGCATGATGCCAACGACAATGGTGGAGAGATTCGCGTCAATGCCGGTGTTTGCGTCCTAGGTAGAAGTAGAAAAACAAATAGTAAACGGTTAATTATTAATGAATTTGTAAATGTCAGTAATTATATTTATCGTAAGAAAGGAAGTGCTTTACGTGTAAGGTATTGTCTTCCAATTGTTGGTGGATTTCAATTCGAAGGGGGATACGAAGACCTTGATACTCTTTATTTCTGGTACTTATCGCTAGACTGTTATTCTTACAGACTCTCTTAATCGCTTATTGAATAGAGTGTTCAAAATAAAAGTTCTACGTAAAGTAAGTTTAAATGGTGCCATAAACTCAAGTTAGATATCTTTTTGTCAAGTATTAAACGAAGTTCAAAACACAAAAAATCGTTCAACTCGCTTTTTCAACTAACTCCTACAAGTTTAAAAAAGAATTTGGCACCGCTGTGGAAAATATAGTTGACTGATTTGACAGTTCACCATCCTGTATATAAAAAATATCAAATTAAAGTTTCGAGTTTCTTAAACACCCCATTCTTACTACTACTCTAGTCATTAAATTTTTTATTTGAGCACAAATAATAATAATGAATGAGCATAAAGGTTCCATATTGAACTTGTTTAGTTGTATATTATTATTCCTAGGGTTACGTTTATGAATTAAACGGTCTATTAGATATTTTAACTCTATGTAAGAGAGAAAACTATCTGAATTTCCAAGTTCAGATATAAATATGGCGAATCAGAATCAGTTAATAGCTAAAGAACTACTACTACCTACTATTAAAATAATGCTTTTTCAATCAATCAGTTCTGACCTCACATAGACGGGGCCTCTGTGAAGGGCCCCCTCACAATATTTAAAATCTTCATTATATACATAAAATATCTGAAAAATACTTACTTCGAAAATTTTTGCCGAGTAGAAGATGACAGCGTTGATACCGCTCAATTGCTGGAAGAACATGAGACCCAAACTGATAAACAATGCCTTGCGTGTGACGGGACGTGACAGACCTTCCATCCATGATACTTGATTTTGCTTGATCTTTTCTTGGGTTTCACGTAATTCTTCGATTTCTGCCCTGTATTCATAGTCCTTGCCACGTAGCCATTGAATGGATTTGACAGCGTCTTCATCCTTGTTCTTAATGATCTGCAAATAGAAACAAAAAATATTCATTAACACTATAACTTATATTGAGCAGTCGTTGGCACGCCTATTACTCACCAAGTATGTTGGCGACTCGGGCATGAAGACGAAAATGATACCGAAGACCAACGGGATCATACCGCAAACAATGCTCATCCACATGACGTTGAGACCAGCTCCAATAGCATACACAAACAATATACCAGCCGTTATCATAAGTTGAAAGAAGCTGCCAAGCGTGCCACGAATTTCCTTTTGCGCTATCTCACCAGTGTACATAGGTGCGGCTACGCAGAAAGCTCCGCCAGCAATACCCAACAGGAAACGAGCAGCATACATCATGGCAACATTTTGCGCCCAGATCAGCATAGCCCATCCGATGGTGAACGGTATTACCAGCAGTAACATAGCCAGCTTACGCCCAATCAAATTAATGAGTATACCGATGGGTATACAAACGCAAGCCGCACCTAATGTCATGGCGGAACCGACCCAGGAGAATTCGCCATTGCTTATGGGGAAATCGTAAGCGCCATTGTAAATTTGTACCTCTGCCGGTGAGGTCCAACCGAGCAGGGTACCAGCGGCGAAGGCACCCCCAGCAGCCGATAAAGCGGCCACATATTGCGGAAGTGTCTTGGAGTTGGTCTGACTTGCTCCGTGTACCATGCTGCTGCCGAGTAAATTCTCTTGGTCCTGCGTTAAATAAATACAGCAAGATATAATCAAAAATTATTAGTTTATGTTTTACGAGGGTGTTGAGTGTTAATTTATATTTCAATACTAAAGTTTAAAATAAAGTCAAAGTCAATTATCAATTTGTCTAATAGCTGTGTAGGAGTCATTAAGTTATTAGTCTTGTGTCAAAACCATCAAAAATGGACGCACGTGATGGCGCTAGTTTACTGTTAAATTATATATACTTACGTTTATATGTATGTATATACAATATATGAGCAGACCCCCACAACCCATATTTGATATCTGGTCAACTGAAATGCTCGTAAGTTAACGGTAAATAAAAAAAGTTAAATTCTGAACTAAAAAGGGTGCGAGGAAATGGAATGTGTTGTGACCATTTATGAGCATGGCTGACTGTACATATTTTTTGTTAATAAATGATGGGCCGTTATAAAAATGTTGACAGATAAATCGGCGTCAAGTTACTTAACAAAATATTATATAATCGTAAATTTTTGGAAAGGGTTTCATTATATGCTAATTTAGACAAATGATAAGCTGACGAGAATGTATTTAACATCAATGTGTAAGTGATGCGCTATTTGTATATCAAAGTAATCACAGAAAAAAGGTGAAAGCTCAGAGGAAATTTTTTTCATCGCATTCAACTATGCTTAGAGTAAGCTCGATGTAATAAGGTGCGTTTTTGGTTTTACAAGGTAATTACAACAAAGAAGTTGAAGTCCTCTGATATTTTTTTTAAACGAAAACAACGTTATGTAGGGAAAGCTCAATGTAGCTGACCCCCAGGTATGCATAATAAAATAATCACCACGAAATGGTGAAGGTCTGCCTTTTTTAACGGATATGTAAGCCGGAAATGCACTATAAAGTAATCACCACAAAAAGGTGAAAGCTCGAAAGAAACTTTTTTATCCGAACCAACTTTACTTAGTAAAAGCCTAATGTGTAAAAGAAGAACAATTAAGTTTACAAAGTAATCGCAGGAAAGTAAAAGCTCTTAAGAAAACTTTTTTCATACGAAAACTGGGTGAAAGTTTAATAACTAATAAATTAAATTAAGTACATGGTATCTCCATAAGAAAGCTACTATGTGGAAGTTCAATAGAGCAATATGCTTCTATAAACCATTTCATATATGTAACGCAAAGCATTAAATAAAAGCCTTTTTGAAGCAATGTGGGTACATAATATAATATATTAAAGAATTTTAATTGCAAAAATTCGTTTAAACAAATTTTTTTGTTGATGTGAAGAAAATTATTTTTAATCATTTTTATAAACGAAGCTCGGGTGCAACTCGCAAGTTATTGAAGCAACTCATTGTTAGAGAAGAGAAGTTTCATAGCACTTGATTTTTATTCTGGAACAAAGAAACATATCAAAATAATGTTTATTATCGCGATAAACAGTTTGATTGACTAAAATAGAACATACCTAGTTCAAAAATTTATTACTAAATTGTAGTTTCCCTTCAAGTACTTAATACGTACAGTTGATTGATTAAACTAGTGAGAGTATTTTTGTAAGTACAGAGGTAAATTTATTTAGGACAGATAATACCAAGTGTATAACGATAACGATAAATTAAATAACGATTGTGACGTAAATCAAATATTAGATTGCGTACAGCTATCGACTGATAAATTTTCATCAAAGAGTTAATGATTGCTATCAACAAGTAATTAAAGGTAATGACATAAATATATGTGTAATGAATGACATAAAAGGATTGAACGTGATATTGATTATAAATATAAGAGCAAAAGGTTCAGATTGACCTCAAAAAGTAACATTTTTGTAGTATATAAATATTTTTGGTCTCTGCACGACATAAATCGATATGTTTCTGTATGAGAAAGTATTATCAGTTAAACTGAGTGGCACATATTATACTTGCATTGAATGTCTAATTAAATATTTAATAGCACTTAAAACCTTTCAATACTGGATTCTTATCCTAACGTATTCTTCTTAATTTTCTTTTCCATTCAAAATATATTTGTAATTCTTAGAGAGAGTTAAGGTGGATTGTTAGATATTGTATTGATTTCTTTTTAGCTTATGAGCTGTATATCCTGTCGTGAATGCTTTTATTATTGTACACACGTGGTGTTATAACAATAAATTTGGACTCGATGTGGAAAATTTCGGTAGAACTGTTGTCTGGTTTGATATACTTATAACCACTTTTTATACAGGAAAGTATTTCTATTTCAAAAATCGAGTGGATGCATTGGATTCAACCACAAAGACTCTGAAACACTTAAGAAGACTTCAGTTACCCTAATTTCCAGATTTCCACCTTTACTCAGAACTTCACAAATTAGACCGGATGTTCATATTTCTAACAGTTTTTGTTAATTTCGACATTACGATAATTGTTTGCGCCTGCACTTCCGGATTAGTTATGGTTTTTTATATAGATATAATGCACACACATACCACATACAAGCGTAAGCGGTTAAGCATTTGCAAATATATTTACAAATTTACATATTTGCATACATACATACACATATGTATATTTAGTAGTTATGTATGTTTTCAGTTGTTGATTGACACCTTTAAGTCTCGTTAGATAATTAATTTGAGTGTATTTCATGTAAACACATCTAAAGTGCTTACAAGTATGTACCATACATATGTACATATAATTGAATTTGAAGCATCGATTAATTCATTCGGCATTAATGAAATTTTTGCGTGCTGCAGAGCGCCTAATATTGTTCGTAAAAGGGATTGAATTATTGCGCAATTAAATGCTTAATATTCGCCACGTACTCCTCAATCCACTCGTAAATGCAAATGTGCTTATGTACATACCTTGTACCATATACGCACTTGAATGTGTGTAAATATGTATTTACTTAGTAGTTTTAAAAGCGGCAATTGTTTTCACGTCCAGCTTTGACCTTAATTAACATTTCATTGCGTGGAAAAGAAAGCTCGTGAATAATAAAAGTTGTTGACAGTGACAGTAATGCCAATGTTGTGTTAGTTGTTGTATTATTTAATTTTTTATTGCATACAATTTTGTACTATAAATACAGATGTTGCTATTTCGCAAATAATACACAAATATATTTATTTTACTAAAAAAAAGCATAAGAAACTCCACCACTATTGACTAAAGCAATCCTCAATCAGTTAATAAACCATTACTGTCAATAAAATCCTGTAATATACACAAACATACAAGCAAGTGTTTAGTTACATTGTATGCCTTCACTTTTTGCCGTTCCCTTTAGAGGGTGCAGTTTGAGTGGACGGCTTTATGTATGAATAGCTTTGCTGATAGTGGCGTTTCCGTAAGTTTCTTGTAATCATATCAGTGGCATTGATTTGAAAGCATACAGCTACTTATTCATATCATATCATATTATACAATGTGGAAGTAACATTCACACAAATAGTAAGTTAATCAGACAGTAGGGTGGTACTTAGAAATCTTTTTTTTTATCTTTTTTTGGAGAAATTTTTACAATATTGTAGAAATTCATAATCAATAATGTTAATTCAAAACAAGTAAAGAAGGGCTAAGTTCGGGTGTAGCCGGACATTTTATACTCTATGTAAACATAGACGGACTAAAGTCAGTCGAACGTTTCAAAATCGTGAATATCAGTTATATGGGTGCTGAGGGAAGTATTGACCCGATTCTACCCATTTTTGACAAAAGGGTATATTATTATTAAAGAAAAATTTTCCACGAATTTAAATAATATATCTCACAGATTTACCGATTTTTTCTGCAAAAATTCATTATGGTCCGATATATGGGAAGTAGGTGTGGTTTTTGTCTGATTTCGCCTATTTTCACATTGTAATGTAAGAATGTCTGAATAATATTACATTTGATTGAAATTGGTGGAGTAAATCCCGAGATATGGATTTTTCCTTAAATGTTGCCGCCCACTACGCCATCGTACAACAGGTGCTTCTTGCTACTGCAATTCAATGTACCAAATTACACTTTTATATCTCAATATGGTTGGCTTAGTTTTGGCATTTTATATGTTTTCAGTAAATGGCGTTTTGGTGTCCATTTACGCCTATCTACGAACGTGCATAAAAGTTTCATTACGATATCTCAATTTTTACTCAAGTTACAGCTTGTACGGCGAGACGGAGGGACAGACAGACACTCACCCGGATTTCAACTCGTCTCATCATCCTGATCATTTATATATATGTTTATAACCTTGTATTTAGCTCGATTATTTTTATGTGACAGAAACAACCGCTAGGTGAACAAAACTATTATACTCTGTAGCAACATGTTGCAAGAGTATAATACATAATTAATATTTTAAAAAAATTTATTTAGACAAAAAATTTCGGAATTATTGATTTTTGAAATTTTTTAATTCAATCATTTTATAAAAGCAAATTTTAAGTTGAAAATGTTCCGATGAATAAGTTTTACGTAGTATATAGCGCTGGAAAGTCTTTGAGCTAACTGAGGACGATACCATATCCAGCAAACGTCCTCTTTTTAGACTAAAAATGTACCTCGCTAGAAAAAGATTTCACTCAAATGGGGAGGTTCAGATGGAAACAATGGCCTTTAATGAAGGAAATAATAATAATAAATAATTTTTATATTTTGAAATATTTCTAAACCCCCCCTAATGTTCAACTTTAAGTGTCGTTAAAATACTCGAGGAAGTTAATGCCGTCAGGTAAGCATATTTGCAGCACCGAAGTTTGACATGCGCCAATAGATTACACATTCCGTTTAATAACCGCCTACGCCACTGATAAAACGTCAGGAAATGCAAGCGATTTAAGTCGATTATTTCATGTTACTGCTTTGCATTACCTCCATACAAATTTGCATAACTTCGTTAAGAATGTGGGTTTTGCAGTAAGCCACGAAGAAAGGCAAACGCTTGCCTTCCAATGCTTTTCAAATATTTGTGCGTCAATATTAAACATTTTAAGCACAATAATGCTGACTCTCTTTTCCTTTCTGGTTCTTGTCTTTCCTT